CTGTTTAGAGTCCTTAATCACTCTATTGACTACTTTCACTTTGCTTGTTAATTAGCTAGCAGCAAAGGCAGAAAATAAACTTAATGCATTTTCCTAGCTTGCTAGTAATCTTCATACGTAGAGTTGTCCCTTCAAAGCATTTTAACCAGGGTAAGTTACACAATTCTAGGAACTGATCCACAAGGAGACCCTGAAAGGGACAATTTCAAAGCTGGCTGAAAAGCCAAAGCTCCCTAAATGCCAAAGTATGCCTTTTCAGTGCATCTAGAGAAGAACCACTGAGAGGGGGAAAAAAAAAAAAAAGTATTACTCCTACTTTTGGTTTGACTGTGAAAAGCAAACTTCTTTCCTACAAGTTGCTGAGGTTTTGGTGAAGGCAGATCATACATGCAGTCTTTGGTATTTCTGAACATGCTGGCAGGGGGCACAATTTGTGCTGCTACTTCTCAGAAATGAGGTAAATAGTATGTTGAGACTATTTCCATGAAAAAGGGGAAAATAATATGCTGAAATGATGATCCTGTCGAAACACTTTTGCTGTACTGTCCTCTCTTTGGTGACAGCAACAATGATGAAGGTATTTTGTAGACAGCAAGTGTCAAGAAGCTGCCTCTAAAATGTTGTCCTGGCACGTAATTAGTATAGAAATTGGCTCACACCCAGGTGCCTTATGGATCTTACAAGATCAACGGATGGGCGAGAGAGCAAGAATGTGAAATACAAATGGGTGCTTGTGCATGGTTTGCCTCATCTCCTGTGACTTCCATGACTACCTGGGTGGCTTGCAGAAAAGCTGGACCTGGGGCTGACTCAAATCCCAGCAGCCCAAGGGAGAGTTTTCGTTGCAGAAGGGTTAGGCAACAGTGCCAGCCTTGAAGTTAGATGCTCAGGTCAGTGTTCAGGCCTATTGATAAGTTTTAATTTAATTTAATAGTAGTCTTTTGCCACACATATTTAGCATGTCATGCTGACACCTCAGGACTACAGCTGTCCAAAGTGGTTTAAAGGCTCCCAGCTGCTTGCATTGGTAGCCTGGCAGTATATTGTCTTGGCAAGGTGGGTGGGCAGTAGCCCAAATTGAGATAGACAGCAGTGATCGCAGAGTGTGCACGGATCAAGTTGCTTCTTTCTGATTTCAGGACAATATTATTGTTTACTGTTTGGTCTGTGATAGCACCTGGAAGCTCAAGGTGCTGGTGGAGGTTGGTAGTGCCAGGAGGAGGAGAAGGAAGAAGAAATGCTTTCCCCAAAGAACCTGCAGCCCCAGCTCCCTCGCTCAGGTCTGAGGCAAATAAAATTAATGTTTGTGGCTTGGTGAAAATGCCCTTGCTTCACTGCTACCTGCTTTTGGTAGAGGTGCCTGCGACCAATCTCTGCCACATGAATTTCAGTCACCAAAATAGAAAATCTGAATTTGCTGAAATAAGGAAGAATCTCTTAAGCTCAGCCTATTTTTAGAAGATCCTCTGTAGAGAAAACAAAGTCTAATTAGAAACAGACTATTGTTGCAGTAACCCAGCATTTCACATGTGACCCTGGGAGTCTTCCACCTCTCTGGGTTTGTTAAATCTTGTTGTTAACTGCTTGAGTCCTGCTTAGTTTCAAAGTCAAGCCCGAATACTACCTTCTCCACTGTATCTTACTGTTTTCAAGGCACAAAAGGAACATCGCCATTATTAGGAAGCTCTGCTGTTTAATATTTATTTTTAGAGAATGCTACTTATAATGATTTAGGATCTCTTCTTTTGGTACCTGTGAGCTCGGTGTTTTTGTGTGTGCTAATCTCTGCTTAATCTTTCTTACGGCTGCAAATAGCACAGGGGAAAAGATGTTTTTGCAGAACAGCGTAGCTTGGAAATTGTGCTTTTTTTAATTACCAGCTGTGAAGAAATCTGTTTTTCCACCAGTTGACTTGCATACTTTTTAGTGGTATAACAGGTTCTGGGGGGAGATCTCCACCACAGATAGCAACATGAACTTCCCTCCTTAGGAGGCAATTGCACATTGTATCTATAAAATTCTCCTAAATGCATTGTCTTACAGTTACTCCCTTTGTGGCAAATGAAGTCGAGGGGGTTTGGTCCTTCCCTTTAATAGCCTCTACACTTTGCAGGCTGTAAGTAATTTTCAGAAAGGCTCAGGACAGGAGGCACGCCTCTGGACATGTCTCTGCTTTTCTTCCCTAGCGAGCCACCTCCATGGCACTTCAGAGCAGCAGATGGGAGCAGCAAACACGGTTGGCCAGAGGGCAGAAATCCTAGCAATGAGTCCTCGCAGACAACAGCTCCTTACTATGTTTTGGTCTTCCATGAGCTGACACCATTAGTATCTCCAGTGTCATTGTTCAGAAGCCAGCAGCAGCTGCATGCCAAGGGATGCTCAAGGATTTGGATGCGATATCTGGACATCCATGCCACAAGGGACCGTGATGGCAGAGAAGGGGAGCAGCAGCCCCCCTGTAAGGGATGCACTGGGCTCCAAGGACACCTCTGTCCTTGCTTTTGGAAGCTAACAGGGAATTGTGGGATCAAAGAGAAGGTTTGCAAGGTCTTGAGAGGCTTGTTAAGACTCGTAGCTCTGAACCTTTTCCTGCAACATACTGACATAGGACTGACTTGGGAAAACAGCTGAGAAACAAGCGGGAGGAGAGCGTCAAGGGCTAGCCTGGGGATGGGGTGGTCCAGCCTGCAGCCTTCCCACTGCGACCGAAAGCAAGCAGTGGAGATATTCTCGCTGTTACGGCAACGAGGACCTTTGCAGGCCCAGTGTGGGCTACACAACTTGGGTGCTCCTCAGCCTCAAATCCCTGCCTCACCAGGACCAGCAAGGGGCAACAGCCGCAGGCAGGGGCAGCACATCAGGAGCAGCTGGGAGTGCTGCATGGGGCAGCAGTGCTTGCTGGGATCACCATTTCTCAGCTGCCAAGCTCCTGTGCCAGATGGCACCATCTCAGCATGGCACCATCAGGGTGCTGCTCGTGGTCACTGAACCTGCTGCAAGCGGAGGTGGTGATGAGAGTGTGCACAAGCATGTGACTGATCAGCACAAAGCTCCTCTTACTTTCCATCCGCCTTGTTTGGGTGCGAGCAGACCGTGAGACCTAGCAAACCTCAAACCCGCTGACAGCGAGTTGCAGAGCCTCTAGTTTCCGCCCTTTGCTAGGCAGGTCCCCTGAGCCTCGGTGAAAACCTCCTCACTGGTGCAAGAGCTCCGCGTCTTCCCACTTTTACTCAGCAAACTGCCAGCAGCACCCCTCACCCCCAGACATTTGCGTTCAATTACCCTGAATTTCATCACAGAAACTTTGGCTGCAACTTTGAAAGGGGCAAAAACAAATGCTGCGGGTCACAGCCTGTTATAGCTGATCTGCTCTGCAGATTTGCCACCTTTTTTTTGCCCCCCTCCCTGTTATGTGGTGTTGGTGTCAGATCCTCCTCCTGGCTGGACAGATCTTATGGGAAACCCAGTTATTAATCAGATTTTGCAGTTTGCGGGGTGGGGAATAGTGTTATAAATTGCAATTTAAGGAAAGCTGCACACACAAGTGGGCAAGCAGAAAGCTCTCGCTGTCCTTGTGAAATGACTGCCACCGTTTCTCTGTAAAAACACACTCGTACTTCCTCTGCTACAACTTCTCACACCACTCAAGTTCCCCAGGGGAAGTGAAGAAGAAAACTCATCAGAGAAACAGATCAGGAGTGAGAAACATGATGACTAACTGTACCAATAGCACAATTTGGGGATTTTGGGGCATAAAGTAGACATAATACCCACATGCTTCTCTGGGCTGCTACCATTACTAGCCATCCATAAATCTGAAGTAAATTAAACAGTAAACTTAAATATTAAGAGCTCTTAAAATCAAGGGAACTAGTTAACAAGGAAAGCCTTCAACTAAGGGATAGCACATGTTGGGACTGAATGCTAGTGCCAACAGGGCAGTAGAGGAAAGTTGTACCTGGGTTGCGTTCATGGTTTCCCATGGGCTAGAGGACGCAAGAGATGGTGTACGGGCACGTCAGCAGAGTGGTGAGCAGAGGGATGCTGCCCATGTCACCCTGGCCTGGCCATGACAGGAAGGAGTCCTGACATTTGCCTCTCCACCCTCTCTAAACTGTGGTTGTCAGCTGAGCAATACCTGACTAATGCATACCTGAGGGATGCTAGAGGTGGTTTGCACAACAGGACTCAAACAGCCTTGCCCAGGTCACATTTCTGTAACTGGCTTGGGCCTTGGCTTATTAATCAGTTCTCACTGAGTGTAACACTTAAGTCACACCATCGTGGCACAAGGATTGAGGTGTGAAGCCTTTGGGATTAGAAATCCCATACAGCTTCCCCAAGCATTCAGATGTCTGTGTGCCTACATCAAAAAGCAGACTTCTGCTAATTTTTTTAATTGCCGTCAAGAACATTCCTCCCTACCATCCCAGCTGCAAGAGAAGCAGGAGCATAAGCCGATACTCGGATGCTTGGTCAAGTCCCATCCCGCCACAGCCTGAAGCAACATGCTACTCTCCCTCACTGACAACTCAGCTCGACTCCTACTAACCTGCTGTGGGCAGGAGCATTAGCTCAGGCTCTTCAGGCCACACCATCCCCCTCTTACCCAAACCGTGGAAGCGCTTAGTAGATTGACTTTCTCAGAGGTGTTTCTTATTCTGCTGGGTCATTCATCCAAATGCCAAAATTGTGGCTCATTAAAAGGGCAAGCTTGGGCTCGGGGGGTGCAGGAAGGAAGAAAAATAGCTTGCAAGAGCCTTCCTGTTTATCCATGGCTTGGGAGAAAACAGCACAACAGAACACACGCACCCTGGCTCCATTATCTTTGCTGGCACAGCGCTGGCTTGGCTCTGTCCCTTACCACTCCAGGCCAAATCCAGCCCTGCCGCGAGCGTGTTTACTTTAGAGGAGTTTACTCAAGAGAGAAATCCGGCCCCCGGAGCCTGAATGCTCGCAGTGTGCGAGCGAGCACACAGGCACCGGGAGCCCCCGCGACAATGCGCCGCAGCGCTGGCCCCCCGCCACACTGGGGAGGTCATTTTCTTCTCGGCAATTAGTGAAGTGGTGGCATCGCTAAAAGAAGTTGAATAAACACATTCAACCCGGCTGGGTCCCCGGTTTGCTCTGTTCTCACACCACCCTTCCTTCTGGGTGCGCGGTGGGGCCCCAGCAAGTGAGAGCCCGATGCCTGTGCACTGCGCTTTCATTCAGGCCTAGTTGGAAAGGGCTTTTAGGAAAGAGGACGGGGGGCGGGGGGGAAATAACCCTTTAGCTTTCTTCTTTTACAACAAATGTCTTCCCTTTTTCTTTTCAGGGAGGAAAAATGCCAGCTTCTCTAAGAAAACTGCAGCAAATGGCTGTTTTCATGGGACTGTTCAGCGGCGGGGGATGCATCGTGATGTATAATCTTATGCAAAGTAAGTCTTGGTGCTGTTAGCAACCTTATTTCTCCTCTGCCCCTTTCATTTGCTTTTGTGTAGTGGGGAAAATAGCAGCATGGAAGATGTGAAAAGCAGATGAAGTTAAGGGAAGTGTGGCTGAGCCTCTGGGTTCAGCCCCAGGGCTGCTGCTCTCCCAAGTGCTGCTGCATGCATTTCCAGAGGTGAGTATTGCATAGGAAGCAGGCTGCTGTGGTCAGGAGAAAGTCTGGTTTCTGAGGGGTTTCCTGAGGGTGAGGGCAAAGTGAAAGCTTAGGCAGTAATGCAGGTTTCGTGTCTTACTGAGATTTTACAACTGGGCAGGAAAAGAGGACCATCTGTGAGAAGGTATTAGAGTCTAGCGGTTTTATCTGTAAATCTCTCTGCGGTGCTGGCCCTTAAACACAACACGCCTGTGAAGTGCTAAGACATCATTAGTTTCTCCTGAATGAAGGGCAGATAAGAGCATTCAGCATTGAGAAGACTGGGACAAGGAAAGAAAAGCTAGACAGGTGCCATTGCTGTTTATAGACAGCTTTAGTTGCTACGTGTCTTTGTCCAAGAATGGAAATTATTAGTCCAAATGATAGATGTTTATTTTTTCTAAAATTGTTTCTAGATATTTAGCATCAGACTAGAAATAGGCTTTGCCTCTCTCTCGGCAGGTGCTACAGGCCTCTTGGCCTTATGCCCCTCCCTTGCTGGTACTATCAAATGATATTGCTTTTCACCTACCCTTATATCAGAGGATGCTGCCAGAAAAGTGTAGCCAAGCCTGTTCGTCAAGCCCTCACATAAGCTCCGAAACCTCCCCTTCATTTTACACGTATTAATAACAAATCAGACAAGGCTGGAAAGCAGGCTTTAATTTTAGGCAGCTCATGCCCTCAAGCTCTGGAGTACATGACAGATATATGATCCTCTTACACTTCAAAATATTGAATCTGGCTTTAACAAGGACATTAGCATTTTTTAATTTTCAGCTTCAGCATTGTTATCTAGAAATCTCTGGGGGAGAGAAAGAGTCATCCCCTGTGCTATACCGAAAATCAAAGGGCTCGCTCCCCCCATCACTTAGCTATACAATCAAGTGGCGCAGCTCAATGGCTGCTCCTTGCTCTGTGGCAGTATTGGTGGCCACCGAGTAGCTGTCTGATAACTTGGAGACAAGCCAACTGGGCTGCTGAAAGGACACTTTCTGCTGCAGAGTGTGTCCTTCTGTAGCCTCCAACAGACGGGGGAGCCACACTGGGACCCTTCCTGCCTTCTCCCATGTCCAGGGTTATCCCAGTTCCTTCAGCTATCCCAGTGCACAGAACTGGCTTATACCGGGACCTGTGAGGAGCAAGTGGCTTCCATAGTGGTAGGAACAGAGGGAGAAGGATGCTTCCCTCCCTTTCCTTCAGGCTGAAGGGAAATTTGCATGCATGTGGTCTCTGTGAAAGCTTGTACAAACGCTCAGGTAATCCTATTTCTACTCACTCTCTTCACCTCCACACCCTCCTCACGGGAGCAGTCTCCCCAGCCAACCTCAGCATCCTTTCAGCTCTCCTACTGAAAACGCATGGACAAACGGATTAGTCAGGCATTTTATGTCCGATACACAAGATGCTAACAAGGAACAGCTGAGAAGGAGCACCAGGAAACTCGAACCCGTTTCCCCTCCAACCTGCAGGATGGGCACAACATACTTTTAATGTGGTCTGGGTGACTGCTTGCCATGATCTGTAAGCAATAAAGGGCTGGCGTGCTGCAACCCCTTTTGCTGGAGTTCCTTAGGATGGCCCAGGGGGCCGGGGAGAACCAGAGCAGGCTGCAGCCTAGCAAAGCTGTTTCTATGCCAACTGGATGCTGCCTGCTCACAGGGGATGCTCTAATTAAGGGAGAGGGAGCAGCATCCTTCTGCCTTACGCTCCAAGAATAATACCGACAGGCAAGAGACCAGGAAACAAACCGTACACCTTGTTTTAAACTCTTTGGAAGGTGAGAGCAAAGTTGCCAGAGTAGGATTTTCACACATGCACACTCTTAGCTTAACTCTGCCCTTCTTGATCTCAAGAGAGTGGAGTTAGGCTGGAGTGAAGCACATATAGAAATCTCAGCAGGCAAGCCTTAAAACTGTTTATAAGCGAGTATCTGCCGCAATAAGGAGAGTCGGCACATTTCCAGCCTCACAGCTCTGCATTGCACAGTGGTCACCAGTGGACAACGTTGTAACCAGACATCGATAAGTAGCAATTTACTACAATTGTCCTCCATATGCCAACACTGCAGCATCCCGTCTACTGTGCTATTGTTGCTACTTGACCATTAACTCTAATGGCGCTTCTTTGTGCCTCCTTTTTAATGTACTCATCAGTAGAGTTGCAGCTTCATGGCTGCCACTTGAAAAGCCATATCAAGACCACAGCAAGAGTTTCACAGCAGCAGCAGCTGCTGCTGTTCCTGTCTTACACCAATGCCTGCAAAATACTCTCCATTCTTAAAGTATTTCCTGTACCTCATTAAAAAAAAAAAAAAATTGAATTACATTCAGAACATTTTCAGATATTCATCCTTATGCTCCCCCCCCCTTTTTTTTTGTTCCTTTTAAATGACGTACAAACATATGAAAAGCAGGGAGACACAGCTATAAGCTGAACTGTGTATCAGTATGGAACAGGCTATATTCAGAGCCCTCTTCACTTAAGTGAGCTGAATAACGTTACAGCTCAGCACTGCTTCTCCGATGTAAGGGTGTTTCCTCCTTTAGCCAGATTTCTCCTAATTAATAGTTTTACTGTGTTTTTCAGGGAGGGTGTGGTAGCCTGGAGGAAATGTCTTTTTTTTTTTTTTTTTTAAACTTATGTTTTGATTTTAGTGAACATTCTCCTCACTACCCTGTTTCTCTCACCTAGAGAGTTTTGCCAGGACCCAGTATTATCAGCAGGCTTTGGAGCAATTGAACAGCAATCCCGATGCCCTGGAAGCCCTGGGTGCCCCCCCTCTTAAGGTTCACAACATCCGACTGACGGATGGGAGTAACCGTGTGGACACAGAAAGAGCACAGGTAACGCTGGGGAGGTGGTGTCGCGGGGTGGCTTCCCAAGGCATCGGGTGCCAAGAGATTAGCTAGGGGATTTTCAGCAGGTCACAAGTGACTTGAGGGCACTGGAAGGCAGTAGGGTGGGATGCCAGTTGATTTGGAAGAAGATGGATTTCCAGAGCATAAATCCATGCTCTAATGCAAGAGACTAGAAACAGCAAGAGCGGCATCTTCATGTTGTGCTATATGGGCGCATCACAGAATGCCAAGGGACCTCCCAAGTCAGCTGATCCCCCTCCTGCTACTGTAAGCCACAAAAATCGTTTCCAGAAACGTATTAAGATCCATCTTTAAAATAGCAGCTGCCTCCCTCTTCTCCCCAGATACGTCCCATACTAGTTTTTAAAGCTTTATTCAGAACAGAGATTTATAGCTGCTCACCAGCTACCTTGTGGGACAGCACAAATGGTGTGGTTTTTAAAAGCACCTGCAAGTCTGTGCCACAGAGGACAGCTGCCTGGCACAGGGCTTAGAGCTGGCGTTACATAGTGACTGGAGAATGCTGCGCTGGGTGCTGAAGTATTGCACAAGGCTGCCTTGCATCAGCCCAGGGTTGGGGCGAGGCAAACCTCGCAAACACAAGTCCACTTGCGCTCTGGGTTGCTGCCTGAAGAGGACTTCCCATCAGTGTTTCTACCCCTTAATCCAGGCAGCTCTTCCCTGGTTTTGGTGGTGATGCAAAATGTCCTTAGTGATCTCTTCCGGCAACTCACTGAGGGATCTTGTCACATTTGAATCATTTTGTTCCTCCTGGTGACTGGTTTTGAGCCCTGGGGACCAAGGAAGGGTGGTAAGGAATGGGGCAGCTGGTGCAGTGAAGGAGGGGGGCTGTCAGGGCAAGAAAAATTAACCTTTAACCAACTCTCATAAAATTCCACTTTCCATCTCGCTGCAGCCAGGCTTCACCCACATGATACCCTAGGCCAAAACGTTTCCCGGGTTTTAGAGATTCTACAAGGGAACATATTTAAGGCCAAAAACGTGGGGGAAAAAAAAGCACAATCTCTTATGCTGATTGAAAAGAAGAGAACCTGTCCCCCTGATGTTTTTCTGTGTCACCTTTTGAGAATGCTGGTTGCTCGGGTGACTCAGGGTGAAGTCAAACCCTGCCTTCTGCCGACCTCACCCAGAACACAAGCCGCCAACTTTCTTCTAAGCTTTTTCATGCTCCAGACCATTCATGTTCTCATGAAATAAACTAGTTAATCATCATTAATGATTATATCATAGATCAATTTACTGACTCCACAACATCCCCAGCTCCTGCCTGCTGAGCCAGTTAGAGAACCCCTGGCATTTTCCCTTTGTGATTGCAGTACCACCAGCAAACACTACACTTGAGACATTTCTTTTATTCAAACATTAGACCAAGTGCAATTAGCTGTGGTCAGTGCTGCAGCTTTGTTTGTTAAACAACTGAGTGCTAGAATTTGTGACACTGAGAAAAATCATTGAACATCTCATTGCCTCGATGCATGTTAATGGACTGATCTGTAGAGGATCTCAACCTACAGGCTTGTTATGGGAAGCTCTAGCACAGTGCGAGTCACCTCTGGATCACCATGCATTCTGGTAAGGAAAGGTGTTTGCTCATAAATATTTCAGAGAGTGAGTGGTTTTCCCTGGGGGTTGCAGCTGTAACACAGTACGTTCTTTCAGTAGAGAGATTAACGTATGGCAGAACAGGCATACTTGTATAGCCATGCACACATTAGCCATTTGAAAAGCTTAGTGAAGCTCTGAAGTACATTAAAAAAAAACAAAATTAGGGTTTAAGTTAAAAGGGAGGTGTTGCGTCTTTGACTGTAGAAGGAGTAAATGTCCATTTCAGTAACATGTTTCACTGAATCTTTAATGTATTTTTACATCTGCAGATAAAGTTACCGGTATCCGGAACAAAATCAGCAGGGTACCTCTATATTAACTCGGAGATGGACCACTCCCGACAATGGTGCGTACTGGGAGAAACGTATAGACGCAGGGAGAGAAGTGGTGGGGGGAAAGAGGGATTTAGTCATCCGTATTGCTGAGATCACGCACACAAAGGAAGCGAAAATTCATGTCTGAAGGTCTTGTGAAAGGTTATTACCATCATTACAACAAAAAATGTAAATTAGTTGAGAAATAGATTGAGTTCATCCCTATGAATACAAACAGAACATGAGCCATTCATTTGTGTGAAATGTAAGGGAATTATCTTACGTATTACATCAGAGCCTATCAAGGTGAGCTAGAAATCATGCAGGATTTTTTTCAAGCTATCCAATAAACACAGTCTTTATCGTTAAAAAAGTGCTAGAACAGATATATTACAGTAGAAGGATGTTCTGACTCCACATCCTATAGTAGCAACTTTACATTTTTGTAATACTGAAGCCTGAAAGCCTCTCTTGTCAAGGGTAAACTGATTCCTAGAACTGAGCAAAGAATTACTGCATGAATTCAAAGTCCATTCCATTGCAAAAGAGGAAATTTCATTAGATGCAAACCTCCTCACATGTACTAGTTCTCAGAGTTTGTTAGGCACTTCTGTTAGCTCTGTTTAGAAACCCTCTACAACATTTTTGCTCAGCTGCCACCAGCCATATGGTAATGTTTTATTTTCATAATTAGATGAGCACAACTTACTGTATGGGAAGTAAGGTGTAAAATGATGGGAGGAAGGCACTTGGCTGGGACTTGAGAGGCTCAGGGCCAGACCTGGCCTCCTCCCTAGTGACCAGAGATACCCCCCAGAGGCCCCCAGCCACCTTCCTTGCACACCTACACTTCCCTGGGCACCTGGGCTCTGAGCTCCTCACTCCTCCTCATCCCCTCCTCACAGATGGAGGGAAATAACAGTTCTCTACTGTTTCACTGAGTTACTGAGAGGATAACTGAAGGTTGCAAGATGTTAACTATAGCAGTAATTGCAGTGCATACCTCTCTCTCTCAGAGTTTTGTTTTAAAATGAGCTCTCCATACATTTCCATCTGCAAGCTTAAGAAGGGAAAAAAAATGCATCTTCTGTAAAAGGGTTTGTGGCAGACAGATCTGTCATACTCAGCCATCTTGGCTTATATGTGGGGTCCTGTGCACAGCTCCACTTGGGGCTAGACAGGGCTTAGTGTCCTTGCACCTAGCTGAGGAACTAAGAGTAAAATGGCTTGTTCCCATCTGCTCTGCAACGAGGAGCTCCTGCAATCCCCGAGAGAAATAACAAATGTGTAAGTGGGCCATCCTGGTGGGGCCCTGCAGAGCATGCATGTGGGTGCTTGCAGCGGAGACCCATGAGGCAACCGGACCGATACAGACACAGTGAAACAGCATCAGGAGGTGAGCTCTCTCTGCAAAAGTAGTTGAGGCTCCCAAGCCACTGAAATGCTTCAGACTCTGAGTGACCAGCCTGTCCATCAGGGGTTATTTATTTATGTAGTTACTAAAAAGAGGGCAACTGAAAAGCAGGGAAATTGGGAGTGCGTGAGCTGGTTTAGACCTGGGAGGGAGCGTTCGCTCAGGTGCAGGCGGCGCAGGGATGGGGAGAGTGCCCGGCAGCGAGGGCGGCCAAGGCACCAGTCCTGCAAAGTGACCCTTGCCTGCCCCGAAGTGAGCAGAGGGAAGGGCCAAGACCCCAGGCCATGCTGAGGGGAGCAACCAGTTGCTCCTTCAAGCCCTGTTTTAAATGAGGCAGTTGCTTGTCCTGGGTCGGATGGAGGCAGAGGGCTGGTGAGGGAAGAGCCCTGCTGCAGGCCCATCGCACAGAGGTGCGGCAGGCTAATTACCTAATTGTATGTACTCGGCACCAACTCCAGCAAAAGCAGAGCTGGGTGAGTGCCAGGAGCTTTTGAAAAAAACCCTGTCTTAGTACCCCGAAATAATAGTCCTTCCCAGCTGGAAAAGCAGCACAAACAATCTCACAGAAATGGGTTTGGAGCAGAGCTTAGAGGAAGGAAAACGCTCCCCCTCAGCCTCCAACAAACGCAGTTTCCTCTCTCCTTTGAGTAACCACCTTCGTACCCCGTCAGGGTTTCAGCAGTCACATTGAGTGATCACACAGTGTTCAAAATCCTCCAAGCCAGGATAATTCCTTAGCAACACAGTCTGGCTCCAAGGCTGGAGAGGAGCAGAGCAAGGAATGCACCCACAGGTTGGAGAGGAAGAAAGGCACTGGGTCAGGGGGGAGGAATGTCCTGTCTGAAAATAGCTAGCAGGATTTTATTCGGGTTGCAACAAATAGGAACACGCATCCCAGACCTTTAAATCTGGGCTGCACTACGCAATTAGGGAAAACAAAACAGCTTTCAGAAGCTGGCACTCGCAAACCAAGTTTTAAAACACTTGAGAGAATTTTTAAGAGCAATGAATGTGTGGAATGATTTGTTTCTTCATGACAGCTGTTTCTACACCGACTTTACTACTATATTAAAAGTGATGGAAACAAGTTAAAAATCTCTTTTGGTTTGTGTCAGCTGGTGCCTTCAGGATGTCACCTTGAAACTGCGGGATGGTCAGAATATTCCAGTTTACCACTCCCCGGTGGAAAGCATCGGTGTGCAAGGCGGCTGAAAATCAAAGGCAGCTGCTTCTCCGCCTCCCATTGAGCCAAAGGAGCCATTAATCGATTGCATCCCGCTGTGTCTGTGAATGTACACGGTTGTCACAAGTGACAATTTCACTTAAGTGGGTCCTCTCGAGACAATTTTCTCTCTAAGATTGACCTCATCATTGTCATAATTGTAATTTCTTTCTTTTGCTGGTTTATTCATGTGTTCAGCAGAAGCTTAAAATAAATACCTTGCAAAAGACTTGCTGTTCCAGAGAAGTCATGTGTTATGCCCTGTGTGTGCTGGTATTATGAATTTGAAATAAATAAACTGCCAGGAAACTGAGCTTTTCTACAATTGCAGACCCAAGTCAGGACAGTTGGGCTGCTCCGTCATGGCTGAAAGACTAAGTCAGCTTCTCACAGCGATTCCCTCGCTGCTTCAGTTTTCCTCCGTTTCTCAACAAGGGACGAAGCAGTGAAGGTGAAGCTCCTCCACTGCTAATGAACGAGTCACGTATCGGGTAGATTTGCCCCCTCACAGTTATCATTAAAAACCTCATGAGATAGCAGAGGCCACTCATCCTAACTTACGAATTCCAGGAAGAGCCTTGCTACTTGCACTGCTCGCACTGAAGGTCAATATAACAGAAGAAGCCACTGTTTCACACGAGCACTGCCTGACACAAGTTTGGGAGAGCACCTCCACTCTCCCACTTCTGCTTAGGGAGGAAAACACTCGGGAGGTGCACAACAGGTAAAATACTGCCACAGTTCAGTCAGGCTACAACAAGAGATTTTGATTGTGCCTTGATTCTGTCAATGAAACAGCTCAACCAACAGAGGTAGAGAATTGCCCATCACTAGGAGCAAGTTGAGGAATGAACAAAAAACCCAACTCCCCCCCACCCACCAAAACCGCACATTCAAACAAATTGCAAAGCCTAAGGCACAGTCTGAGATGGTGAAGAGACACAAGGAACTGTCCTGCCTTGAAGTAATATGCAAGCCACTAAGAACATCCAGAAGAAAGAGTATCTTGGGTTTATTGTAACAGAGCAGGTTAATCATGATGCAGGTAGTGAAAGCCCAGAGCTTACGCCACTCAATTCTGTCCCCGCCCCCCCCAACATCCAAATCTGAGTCCTAGAAACCCACCAAAGGCAAAGGCAATGCAAAGCTTTTCAAGGGTAATAAGTATTGGACAGAAGGGAGAGCTAGCACAAAGAATCGTTAAAGACCAGCGAGCATTTTCCTGCTCAACAATGACCCAGCAAACTGAGTGAGGTGGCTTTTGAACAAGTCTGAAGAGCAAATGCCAAAGCAAGCGGAAGGAGATACTAAAGGACCACAGCAAAAGCACCTGTGACAAACTATTTTAGAAGAAAACAACACACACGAGCTTTAGTTTGGGATTCACTGAGAGCTGCCAGGATGAACAGCACCTGTGAGACCTCATCCAACCCATATGAATGCCCACCATGCCAGGGGAAGGATTAAGATGAATCAAGGAGAGACATTGTGTCCCAGCTGTACAATTGGGATCACTACTATCTGTTTTCACAAAACAGCATACAAACCGTGTGATTTAAAAACATTAGCCTTACACTACTGCAGCCCACTAGCAAGAAAACCACCTGGGAGATGTGGAGATCTCCTGGCCATCCGGTGGCTCAGAGCTTGGTCAACTCTGGCTTTTGGTCACTGAAGAAGTTTGGCGGGGAATCAAACAGTTGACAAGGAAAAGCCAAATCAACCACTTCACATCCATCAATGATCACTTCCCTGCCTGCAGCTTTGACTCGTTACCAACCTCCAAAGAAGCTGTGGAGAGCAACCACAGCCCATTCAGTCCCTCCCTATGCCTGTGCTAGGAGTACCTAGCACACGCCGCCATACACCTGCCTTTTGTCACCGCTGTGCGCTTAGTAAGCCTAGGACCTGCAGCGGCTGCAAGGTGTACAAGTGTCCAGGAAAGCTGGCCACAGCCAGCCCAGCCTGCAACACAACGCTTGCTCACCACCCTCCTGTCTCTTGAGCCGGCAGGCACAATATCCCTGGTCTGCCTTCACAAATTGCTGCACCACAATACCACCGCCTGGCCTGGCTCTAACCCTGGTTATCCGAAGCCTGAGGGAGACATCCCCACACAACAAACCTTACCAGTAACGCCAGAGATTTTATTACCTTGCTTGGTGGAAGCAGAGCTCGTGAAGAGATTCTGTCTCTCACTTTCCCCCTAGGGACCTAGCAGAGCACCCCTTTAACTTTAGGCGCTCCTGATCACCCTAACCAACCATCAAAGATGTGAGAATGAGCAGCAGCACCATATCGTACCAATGCTTCTCCAAGTCAAATCTTTAAACCTGGAGAAGGAAGAAAGCAATGGATGGAGGTGAAAGCCAGCAGATCACTGGAGTGGGACAACAGAAAAGTTACATTCAAATCCCTGCTTTTGTTTTACTACTTAATAGTCAACACAGAATTTCTTACCTCTTGACCTTGAAGAGCCTCAGAAGCCCCTTCTCTTTGTTTGAGCTCTTACAAGATGCACATATTCAAAGGGAGAAAAAAGCAGCAAGCTGGTACATTCAGTACCGAGCTGCTTTTGCCATGTGGCTCCCATTAAATACACCACAGCCCACAGCGCCTGCTTTCCGAGAGGACACAGGTGCAGCCAAGAGAGCTGGGGCGTGCCAGGAAAAGGGGGAATGCAGAGGTCTCAAAACCACCAGCAGCTGCTGAGAGCCCAAATATCTTCAAGAGAGCACCTGGGCACCCCTTTTCCCCTTGCAGTCTTTTCCACTAAGGTATGCTGGAGCAGATTAGGTTGCATTTAACCGTATTAGGTCATTGAAGCACTAATTAATTGTAATTATATTGTGTTGCATGTCACTGAATACCAGTCTGAACAATCATTTCATTTTTATTGAGAAAAAGATTCATCTTTTGATAAAAGATCCCCCAAAACCTGTTAACCTCCTTTAGAAAGCCGTTTGTTTCTAATCACAGAACAGTTAAGGTCAGGAGGAACCTCTGGAGATCGTCTAGTCCAACTGCCCCACTCACAACAGGGTCAGCTAGAGCGGATTGCCTGGGACTGCATCCAGTCAGGTGTTGAAGATCACCAAGGGTGGAGACTCCACAACCGCTGGGCAAGCTGTACCAGTATTCAACCATTCTCACGGTAAAAAAAAAAAAGCTTTTTCGTATGTTTAAACAGAATTTCCTGTGTTTCAGTGTGTGCCCATTGCCTCTTGTCCTGCCACTGGGCACCACTGAGAAGAACCTGGCTCCATCCTCTTTATTTTTTCCCCCACAGGTATTTATACAGACTGGTAAGATCCCTCCCAAGCCTTCTCTTCTCCAGGCTGACAGTCCCAGGTCTCAGCCTTGTTGGCAGGTGCTGCAATCCTGTAATCATCTTAATCATTTTCAGTGTGTTAAATAATTTCTTTTAAATTGGCTTGAAAATTTGCATAGTTCCTTTTCCAGTTGTTGGTGTCGTCAAAACAACCATCATCTTCATGACCTTAGCTGGATTGCATGTTTGTTTCTTACTCTCTACTTTGATTTTAATGGCTTCTGCCAGGCAGTCATCACCCTCAAGGAAACTATCAAGGCGGCAGGCTGCTCAGGGCAAGAACTTAATTTACAACTGAGGCACAACAAATCTTGTTTAGCAGACTGTTACAATGCTTGTGCCTATTTGAGTTGGACCTGACTAGCACACAAGGGCCTATATCAAAACCAGATGTTTTAAAAGCACTAGCTTCATAAAGGCTAAGCGTGCTGGCACGTTCCCTTTTGAGTGTGTTTCTCCAGGTAATGACAGGGTTTGTCCAGCTTACGGGCCTGTCGGCTCGCTTCCTAGCTTGGGCAGATGTCTTGCATTGCACAGGGAACATTGGTCATTTGGATTCACCTCCCATTTAGAAATGAGGATGCATCTGGTTCTTTCCTGCCATTTGCCTGCATCTTGTGTCCACTGGTCAAAGCAAAACCGTTTTCCTGCACGTTTTCTGCAAACAAAGTTTTGCGACAAAGTTCCCTGCGGCATGGCCCAGGCAGTCCCGTAACACCAGCAGCGACGGAGACCTCTCCCGTTCTTGGTGTTCCTTTGGAAGACGCGTGACACCTGGCTAAACACCTTTCGTTCATTTTATGTAGCACCAAGTATATAAAAATATTAGAATGATGTCATTTCTTGACCAATCTAATGCAGTTTCTGTTAATTGGCTTTCCTAGAAGATTTAGAAGCAAGCAGCTTTATTCAGTAACTTCTGAGAGACGGCCTTTGCCTCTCTTTGCGTGGTAAGGCCCATGACAAGAACTTCCACCCCACAACCAGGGCAGCGGGATCTCACAGGGTGCTCCTGGAAGGTGTCAGGCGGTGAGGTGACACCCCAACAGCTCCGGAGATTTTCCTGCAAGGATTAGTTAAAAGGCACCTGTGTAATTCACTCTGTACGCTGGGATTACAAATTAATTGAAGAGATGGGGTACACTGATTTCAACGCATCACCAGCTTAGCTGTCACGCTGATTGCATGAGCAAGCAAAGGCTCAATGCAATTAAGTTCTCTGTGTTTACAGGAACAAAGATAATCCCTTCAAGTAGTTAAGTTCCCTTTCCTCTCCTAATTTTGCAGTAACTGTTGTGGTCCTAACGCTCTGCTTCACTTTGATAAATCACCTTTTCTTAATTAAGAGAGATTTTTATCACACCCATATGGACTTTTTTTTTTCTATTTTATAAAGCTTCCAGGTTGTATTTTTATGGAACCAAAATATTTTACTTCTACAGAGCTATACAGTCGTCAGCTGTCTTGTAACAGGAACAATTAATGAAATTAAGCAGTGCTAGAAGAGGCAATCCCTTTCCATAGAAGAGGCAATACTTGTCTCACCCAGCATCCAGTCGATGCTCTGACTTTCCCCACAGCAAAGTAGTTAAGTTCCCTTTCCTCTCCTAATTTTGCAGTAACTGTTGTGGTCCTAACGCTCTGCTTCACTTTGATAAATCACCTTTTCTTAATTAAGAGAGATTTTTATCACACCCATATGGACTTTTTTTTTTTCTATTTTATAAAGCTTCCAGGTTGTATTTTTATGGAACCAAAATATTTTACTTCTACAGAGCTATACAGTCGTCAGCTGTCTTGTAACAGGAACAATTAATGAAATTAAGCAGTGCTAGAAGAGGCAATCCCTTTCCATAGAAGAGGCAATACTTGTCTCACCCAGCATCCAGTCGATGCTCTGACTTTCCCCACAGCAAGTCACATCAGGCAAATAACACAGCTCTGGACACAGCGCACCTTGGAGGGGATACCAGAGTTTCACTGCTTCGGAGCACACGTTTCAGCACCATTGGTTAAACCTGGATTAATGCTGCCGATTTGCATCTGCTCCACCCTGTCCTGGATACACGGCTGTCCCGCTTGGCACACCATTCACGGGCATTTAAATACCACCTTTCCAACCCCACATCCTCAGGCAGGTCATTTCCCACCTGTCAGACATCCGAAACAACAGCCCCAAGTTTAATGGCAACATATTTCTAGGTGTGGTAGACACCAAGAAAAAACCCAGGAAGATGCGCATGGGTAATGTAACTACATTTATTAATCCCAATGACAGCTTAATTCAACATCTGTAAATGCTGTATTGTGAAGATCTCTACAGTGCAAGCATATTGCTTTAGAGTGGAAGAGATTATTGGTGCATTTCATATTTGCTGCACAAATGTGTAATTCAGAAAACTAAAACATCAGTAATCCTGCTACACGGATGTTGAGAAAAATAACTTTACAGTAAAGTCCCTGGAGAAAAGCAAAGGCATTCGAACAAGAGACACCACCTAACATATCACAGCCTGGTTCCAGCAATATCTTTCCAGCTAGTATTCCAAGCCAAGCGTGGAGGCGTACAGCCACCAGCCACAGAAGAGTTTAAGCTGCAGTAGTTTGCAATGCAGCACTGTACTGTAGCTTTACTACCGATTCCAGTCACCATGCAGTCATCCTGCACCGGACAAACTAGCCTAACTTTTGCAGTTCTGTTTCAGATCAGTAATGCTGTCTTGAAGCAAGATTATGGTTCCTTTTTCTAAAAAATTATGTTTTAAAGTGCTTCCCAATGCGTGAAGAACAAAAGACCCATCAGCTGTTCAGAAAACAAAATTGCATTTATTGTAAAGTTCCTGGAACAGTAAACACTTTATCAGAAGTACAATGAACTGGCACTATTTCTTTAAAACATTGAACTGTCTCCCAGGAACAGCACCTGGAACATCCAAGAGAGATCTTAAGCCATGGAATAACTCGGTGCAAGGCCCGCCTTCCTCCCTGCCCCCCGCCAGCACCACCAGCAGAGAAGGGGCAGGTAACTTTTATTTGCATTTCCTACCTAACAGTTCGCAAGATTCACCTGGTAGATCGCAAGCTGGAATTCACCCTTTTGTATTTAGGGACCCTCAAATGAAAGGTGTAAGGAACGAGACAAAGCACAATGCAAATTCAGCTTTGGAAAGAAAAAAAAAAAAGGATTATTTTATAGAACTTTTAGTTTAATGACTATAAAAATCTATAGCCTCTTGCTTAAAGAGGTGAACATAGCAACAAGACAGGAGGAGACAAGGCTTTGCTTTCAACTAGATGTTTGCTGTTTATTCCAACAACTGCAACGGAGGCACAGGCCTGGACCTACCCTGCCTACGGACATAGTCGTGTCTCTTGCATGGGAACCACAGAAATAACAGCTCTCCAGCAAGCTCTAAGAACATCTGCACTTCCATTCCTTTCAGCATCCTGCATTCAAGCAAACAGCAGCCACGCTCCCGGCGTCACGAAGGCAGCCTGGAGAGCGGGGACTGCGATAGCATTGCCCACAGGCTCCAAGGAGTTGATTCCTTCTCCACAACCACCCCCTTCCCCACAAACACTTTAAGGCATAAGCAGCTTTTTTCAGGTGAACTGCGTACGTACGTGCAGTCCTCCGTATTCGTGGAGCTGCAGAAAACCAGCTCTTCTTCACAAGCTAGTGACTTGTTCCCAGTCTTAATGTGTTACTTCACTAGTAACTACGCCTCTCAAAAACATTAACCACGCTAGCCCCTTTCTACAGCGTAGGGTAAGAATTTACAGCTTTACCCACACTTCCAGCGGAACAGAAATAGCTTCCAGTGCGTGGGACTGGCTGATAGTCCTGCAGTTCAACGTGATAGAAATTTTTTTCCTATTACAGGGCCAATCTAAGATGCCTTGTTTATAACTTATACTATTAAACTTTCACAACTTTATACAAATTCTTAAATGAGGTTAAAAAACACTGTACAAAACCAGCTTAAGGCACAAAAAGTTAAACAGAAACGCAGCCCACGTGAAGTCTCAAAGCAGCCAATTCAAGAGAACGTACTTGTAATAAGTATATAGTTCATTTATACATGCTAAGCTTCATTATCGCACATTACAAACAGCAAATAAGGAGAAACCATATGCTGCTCAGCATCTACTCTTTCTTTAGTACCAACCCCCATCTGAGACATGATCCATGGTGACAAACAGGAATTGAAACAGCTTCTAGGTCCCTTAAATGATTTGCTTTGAGCAACCATGAGCCGTTACACATTTAGGTATGCAGATATGGCAACATAAATTTCTTGTGTAAGGGTGGGATGTGAACGTGCTTCAACCTCAGTGCTTTGCTCAACTTTGTAAAAGCAAGGAACTATGGATGTGGAAAAAAAGTCAAAATGGCAGTGACAGAAGCTGGGAGAAATTTTAATCTTGCAGAAATGAATTTCCTAAGTTAATGTTCCTCCCCCAAGCAAATTGTCTTGGGCAAATGACTGAACAGCAAAAGAAAGGTGCCCATGAAGAGTACTGTTGTGCTTAATTAAACACTCTGAAACAGATGAGCATTGTAGGTAGGCTCAGCAGCCATGCAGCAATGCAGCTACCGGCCACCTCCAGAAATGCCCAGGCAGCACAACTCCTCTGTTGGCTCAAAGATTCTTGTTTAACTTCTACTAATGGCCAGCCAGAGCTCCCCAAGAAACTCTTGCACAGTGGCTTCTCAGTAGGAGTCTGTAGGTTACTGTCTAAAGGAGGGAAAAACCAGCAAGTGACTCATTGCTCCAGAGTACGAAAGGCATCTCTGCATTACAATAGAAAACACACCCAAACTCAATTATTCAAGTACTATTGGATGTTCTCTTATATGAAGGTCTGCAAGGAGTGAGAAGTTGCCCTACCTACATCAATATTCAACGTGCAATTCCATAGGGGAAGAAGCCTGATAGAACAGTTTAATTTAGGTGCAATTTTTCGGATGTGGCTTCAAGTGAAGGCAACCAGACCACTGGCAATGAAGCCTTATGGAAAAATGCTCGTTGCCCCACTCGGTGTCACACTGCTTTTTGTTCAGTTTTCTTCTTCTCCAGTGCTTTTTCTCCCACCCTTACAGCAATGCTCATCAGATCACCCCAGTACTGCTTGTGCTATTAATAAGCCATTTACCTTTTATGTGAAGGGGGAACTGTAATATTGGCACGGAGCACTGAACTCCTTACTCTTTTCAGTGAGCAGAACATTCTTTATACATTTAAAATTAGGGAAGTCTGTAGCAACATGGAAAAAAGGAAAAACTAGCTTAAGAGTTTCTATTCATTGTTTTATAGCAAGAAAACTTTTGTCAGGGTTTATTATAAAGGAACAGCATAAGGAAACCAAATAAATAGTTGAATAGTTAACAGTATGCAATATAATAGTACTAAACTTCAATTACATAAAAATTAAACTTTGGAACAGCATCAATATGAAAGAGTTCTTAGAAAACTAAGATTCAGTCCAAGATCCTCAGCCCTGTACATTGCAAAAAACAGTCAATTCTGATGCCCAGTTGGTCCCAGCTTTGTCCTCTGAGGGACCATGTCCACTGAGAACTATGACCCACCCGTACAGTTCCCTAATCCCTCTCTGCCCCATCATACACATGCTGTTTTTCAAAGCGTTTAAGGGAGAGCGATTGGGAAGCACGAGGTATGAGTTGTGCTTCATTGTTTCAGAGGAAGCAGTATCTTCTTCCCCATCTGATAGCTATATTGAACAAGGTTATTATGCAATTTAGCCTAAAGATGCTTCTTTCTTCCTTAAAGCAGCAGTTAGAGGAACAGAAAGAAGGCAGCAATGACCTCATGCTCCCAGTAAAACCCCAGCTGGGTTCTGGGGGAGGTGGAGTCGAGGGCTGATGCATCATTAGCTGGACAAACTGTCTGATCTAACATGGTGAAGTCAGTGGAAAGAACTTCAATAACTTCAGCAGAGCTACATCAGACCCTCTCTCATTCTTTTTTCCACTCACCAACACTGTGCAGTCACACTGAGCTGGATACTATTAGCACATCTCACCCAACACAGGAGGGGACGGGAGCAATCTCTGCTGGCTCTAAGAGTGACTGGCTTAAATTCATCACCTTCTGGAGAAGGATTTTACTGTGCTCCCAAATAAAGGACGTATCACCACTGTGAGCTGGAATCGTTCCCCGATACAGATTTCTTTACCTGTGGGACATGTGCATCTCTTCCTAGAGAAGCGCAGCTCACTGTTTGGCTACACATCAGATGAGTCTGCGTCTTTGACTTGGTGTAAACAAAGACATATATACACAGTATGACTTTGAAATCTGTATGTCAAATCAGTTGATCAAATTCTCCTCTCATACAATTTTTAGATCAGTAGATAGTTCCACTGAAGTCAGGAGTGCTAAAAGGTGTTTGAAGAAAACCCAGCATTATATATTTGCATTAAGTGCCAAAACATATCCTAAAAACATTTGTCTTGACATCTGTCACTGAAACACTTCCAATGTCAACTTCTCCAGAACACTGGAACAATTAACAAACACTCTGCTATCAAGCAACAAAAAACCAGAAATAAAAATTACAAACAAAAATAAGCTTTTTATCTTTGTTAAATTCCTGTCAGCCACTTGAAATCTTGTTTATCTGTTCCATGAAATTAAAAACTTGGCACATTTTCCTTGGATGCCATTTATCAACATTTTTTTATCTAGAACATTTATTGCATATCAGAAACGCACTTGGCTAGGATATTTTTGTTTAGTAGAAAACACTGCCTTCCAGTTATAGCTATGAAGCTCCACACAGTTCAGTAAATGAATTCTCCTGGTATTTCTTGCAGTAATGGTTCCTCAAACTTAAATCGTTTGGAAATGGCTTTCTGCTCAGTTACTTTTTCTTTTTCTGACTGCCTACATTGTCCCAGTGTATATGAAGCCACTACAATTAGTTCTTCTGTCACTATTGATTCTTCTTCTTCAGTCTTCTCGGCATCTACCGATTTTTCAGAGGCAGAATCTGCGTCTTTCTGGGTGACATCACTGGTCTCCCCTCCTGTACTCTTATTCCAGGCCCTGCAAGCAGGATTATCGCTTTGTTCTAACCATGGATGTTGCAGACACTCTTCAGCGGTTGCCCGGTCCCTGCAGAGGAAGGAAAGTGCTAAAATAAATGCCCAAATAAATTTGAAATTCAGTACCTTGCAGAAGAGATCCATACAAATTATTCCACGGATATGACTGTATTAAAGACAGACTGACAGAACTTAAAAAAAGTGCCAATAGCAGCTACCTTTTACCAAATAAGACCAACAGCAGCCCAAGGAGATGAACTGCTAACATTTAAAATAAAGGAGTTCATTGGTTCTTAAATATCACAGTTTATGCTCCCATGTTGCCAACTGACTTTCAAAGTTTATACAGGGTTGTTTTGGGTTTTTTTTCTTATACAGGAAAATTATCCAATCCTTACATTCTTAAAGTATTCCCATAGACAAGCAGTAAGCAATTTCAGTAGCTGACATGCCCCATGAAGAACTGGTGAAGTTCCACAGAAAACACCTTTTCTATTTCGAGACCTTGAATTTCCAGTTTGCTACCCATTGAGAACAGCATACTAATGAAGCAGAAAAGAGCAAGGTACTCTACCAACTCATCAAGAATAAAAGGCTCAAAGCACAGTTCATTTAAAAGACATCAGCAAGGTACCTGTAAAGGAAGTCAGTATACTGTACCACATCCTACAATTCATACACAGTTTTCTGAAATGAATTTGAGTTTTAATTACTAACACTTGGACACATTCAGAATATGGAAGTTTGGATGGAAATGGAGGACTTCTCTTTTCATATACATGAAAAGTAATAGCACAATGGAATATGAATAATCAAAGTTCCCTTATACTTTAAAAATGAAAATGCCATGCTACATTTAAAACAAATCCAGTCAGACATTAGCATATACAATTGTGTATTTTACTTACTCGGGTTTCTTAACCAGCAGAGTTTTGATGAAATCCACAGCAGACTCTGATATGAGGTCAAAGTCTTCTCCAGAGTAACTTACGTTCATTTGAGATATATTTAAGAACGTTTCTTGTTTATCATCCCCTAAGAAAGGCGATATCCCTGTTAGCATAACATATGCCAGTACTCCAATGCTCCTAAATTAAAAGTAAAAAACAGAAAAGCAGTTCAGTAGTTTGTTGTTGTTTTTTTTTTTTTTTTTTTAAAAAAAACTTTTCAGTAAAGTAAGTTATGATAACCATTAATTTGTTCAACTTACCACATGTCGGTTGCTGTACTGATTGGGTCATAACTCAGAATTTCAGGAGCTATTCAGGGAAAAGAAAAACAAGTTTATTTTTTTGTCATATGCAGACATTATATTGTAGTTATATAGTGCAATAATGGGCATGTGGTAAAACTTAATATAAGCCATTTAAAGCATGACAGTCTTTTGAAATAGAGATATTTCTATTCAAGTTATTTAAGTGATTACTATCATTCATTGGTTTTAAGTAAAACAAATTGTTTTCCTTTTTTTGTCATCTTCAGAAGCCAGGCCAGTCTCCCTCCCAATTAAGGAAGCTATATACAGATTTCTTATGGAAAAATGACAAGTATCCAACATTCCATATTCCGGCACTGAAACCCATACCCATAAAGATATACTATACAACTTACAAGATATTTTCAAGTACAGTTTCAAGGCCTGGAATGATTTGCTTTTAAAAAAATGAAATGGATACAAAGCTCCACAAGCTACAATATTATATTCAGAGACGGAATATGTAATTCTGAACTTTAAATCCAAGTAATACTTGTTATCACTGCTGGTAAGAATCATCTAAAGTGTGTACTCGTCTTCAACACGAGCACACGATTATCACTCATTAGACTGGCAAAGCTTACCAGTTCGACCTTGTACAGCAGTACCACATCCATGTAATAACCTGACCTTTCAACACAGTAACTACGCAGCCAGCCTGGCATTCACCAAATTGAGGTAGTTTCTCTTTTTACTCCCCCAAAGCCTGGATAGTCCCCTCCTCAGGGCTACATCACTTACCTACGTATTCTGGAGTTCCCATAATTTCTCTTAGTTCCTCACTGCTCTTCATTATTCTGGAAAGGCCAAAATCTACTATCTTAATGTCTCCCAGAGGAGACTTACTGGTTAGCAGAATATTTTGGGGCTGAAAAACAAAAGAAGGAGACTTTCAGGATCACCCAGATCTAATGTCTATGGCACCATATTGCATAATTGTTCTAGATCATGAGTAGCAATAATGCATTCCATAACAAGCACAATACCCAAGATCATCTATTTATTTGTGCCTTTTTTTTCCCCGCCCAAGGTGAACTTGAAGAGACACGTAGGCTAAAAGGAGTGGCAGAATTTTCTGTTTATAACTGAGAATCAAACTTCTACCTTGATTAGCTTGGAACACATACAAAAGACATGCCAGTAGCTATCATTTAAGAATAGCATATAAATACCTCCGCATTTGTACCTTTAGTCCTTCACATCACCTTTTTAACTCCCCTTTCCTCCTTGCTTCCTTCCAAGAGATGGTATAAAATACCTCCTGTTTAAGGGTGTCCAGAAACACCCAATCATTTTAAAAAACCTGAACACAAAACTATTTTGACTACACCTGTTTAAAGAAAGTCTGTTGCAACCGACCTCAATCGTGTTCAAAGCACTAACAATTGTATTACAGAATACTAACTGAAGAACAGTTTAAAAAAATACAGCAGCCTGAAAAACAGGTTTTTAAGAGCATCACCTTTGGATAAACTTGTTTGCCCTGACGTCACTAGATCTTGGCTGTCATCCTTCAAAGCAACTTTGTGGTCATTAAGAAGTTCCTTACCATCTACTTTGAATGCTAGCTCAGTTTAAAAAAAAAAAAAACAAACAAACTGAAAACTAACTTTAGACAACAGGTCTTGGAGATTTCTTAGAGATTTTTTTTTTAACTGAAGCATATCCTTGCCAAAAAGGTGTGACCTTCCTTGCCCCCAGGACAATGATCACACTGGGTTCTAACACTAACTTCTCCAAATGGTAACACTGACAGCTGACACTACATTCATGCCTCTGGTGAACACAAGTTCCATGAAAGTGAAGAAGCCTTTATTTATTGAGAACCTGGATCATTTTGCATCGGGGTGGTTGAAAAAGGATTAGGGCAAAAGAGTTAGAACATCGAAGCAACCACTGACTGATAATCCAACTGGATTAACACCAACATTTATACTTTTTCCCTCATCACCGAGCTGTTCTCTCCTCATCCCCTAGTCAATCACGAAGGCATACTTTCACATGAACAGCCTCGCTTTTCAACACAGAAATAAAACTGTGCAAGAACACTTTAAAAACCTTGGGCCAGTTCTCCTTGCTGCGAGTATCTAAATATAGTCAAGTTCTTTCATTCCTGCAAAGTTAAACCATGGTATTTCAAGCTAACTCCATGGTGTTGTCAATCTTTTTTCTGTTTGTAAAACTATGTATTAAGAACAGCTTTTTTTTTTTTTTGCTTACAAACTGGGATCTGGTGGCCGTACAAAGGCTTTTGGAGCTGTGCATTACCATATGCTTTATAGTTCACATTTGTTATTCTGTATTTGTATGAGAAAAGCAAACATCAAAAAATGCTGACCATGCCTCCCTAATCAGCCTCTCAGATGTTCTTCCCAGTGGGAAATTTAGTTACTTTGTGAAGAGGCAAATAGAAAGCACGAGAAAAGCATTTGTTCTCTATATTTAAATGAGGAAAAGTTTTTAATGGAAACATTTCGTGAAACCCTTAAACCCTGTATTATAATATTTTAGTAGATAATGTAGTTGCCAGAAGTCTTTGTCTTTTTTTAAAAAAAGACAATCTTAATACTCAAAACACACCTATGCAGAAAAAACCCCGTCTACAGTACGAATTGAGTCATAAACCTAAATCAATTCATAATGAAATATCAGTCATTCTCTTCTTTTAAGGAATCATTATGGGATTGAAGTGAAGAAACAGTCTAAACACAAGCATGAAACCTTAAAGAACCCATAGCTTTGAACTTACCATAGTTTTCAGCTCAACACATTTACTCTAAGGCTTTAAGAAAAGGAAGATCATTTTTCCGCATCTGTAAAGCTGTTTCTCTTTTTTCTTTTTCTACTGCTATAACACATATAGGTTTGCCTAATACTGATTAGCCCACAACGGCAAGAGAGATGCAGGCCAGAGGCTCTCCTGGCAGCCATTCTAAAAAGGGCCTTTCACTCTTACCATCAAGTGATGAAATGGCTAATGAAAACTGTCAACTGGCAACATTTAAAAACCTCCAGTAAGGCTTAAAGGTTCCAATTTAGATCCTCTTATGTTGTGCACTGAAGAAAAACATAAAAAGAAAAAAATTCCTGGCTAAATGGACGATCTGAATGGATGTACTTTACTACAAGATTGGTACGTGCACAGAAACCACATGATATGGCCACACGAGTCTAGCCCAATGTCACGTTAGCATGGTCAGAAACAGGTACCTTTAGACAGATTATAAACACAAGAAAAAAGTTGTATTTTTTCCAGGCATATTGTCAGCAATCAGAAACTTGGGCTTTAGGAATTTGAGATGTTGCTTATACCTGTATCATCATGTTGAGTAACTGCAGTGAAAAGCTTCATTTGTCAATGCAAATATTAACCAGCCTTCCATTTTTCACTTAAATTGGATTAAAACTACTGTCACAAAAAAAGAGCATAGCTTTCTTCACACAATGAACTTCAGTGCAAAGGCCAAAGTAAGGCAATATATACAATGATCTGTTCTCATCTAGAAACTTACTCTGCAAAACACACAAATAGTTTGTAATAAGTGTACTTAGCGAAATGGGTACCCTTCAACCCTACATTGCCAGCAGGTTTTGGAATCTTATAAACCAGTAAAATCCGTATATTACAAATTTGCCATTATTCCAGAAGTTTCTATGAACCTTTGGCCCTAATATTTCTTGTAACTTTAGTTGGTTTCAAGAAGAGTATGACTAAGGACGCGTAATAAAGATCATGTTTTTAAACTAATCAATGCCTCACCTGAACCTGCAACATTAATTAAGTTAGGTATCTAATTTTATGATACTGTAAAAAAAGGAAAAATCAGATCTCTAGAAGACAAGACAGGAATCACCCAAGGAATAATGAGCAGAAACAGGAAAAACAGACTAGCTGCGATACCCCAGCTACATTGTGCGTAAAGATACTAAAGCAGGCTGATCAGTTTGCCCTAGCAAGAGTTAAAGGACACCGGTATCTTTAAGCAATTGAAATGCAAGAGCAGAATTTGCCTGGGGGTTGGGTTGTTTTGGTCCATGTGTACAAGTGGAAACAATGCAACAGTCACTAAAAGAGTACACATAGGAGACTGGCATCACACTTTATTGCCCAAAATAAGCAATGCAAGTCTCAAATTAAGAAATAAGGCTATAATCAAAATAGGTTCTCTAGAACCTGGATACTCTGTACCTGCCTATTAATAAACAGCTTTGATCTAACTGCTATAAAGGTCTGAACTCCAGATTAAACTGTTCTTTTGCCTTGAAAAATTAATATTTTAATTTTTAACTCTTTTCTTAGTTTCCTGGGTGTTCTTTTAGACAAGGAATACTACACTTCTATTAATATTATGCTTCTGTGTAATAAATATTCCACCTTAATCCACCTGGAAAACTCAGTTGAGAAAATTAATCTGTAATGTTCTTGTAACAGGCCACTTCTTTTGTAACTGCATTAGTTTGCTTTCTGAATATTGGTATAAAATGACACCCAAAACAATTTCAAACAATGATTTTGCTAGTTGTCCTCACTGTACACAACATCTTGAAAACAATACCGAAGGAAGGGAGAAGTTGTCTGTTGGATAACCAGAGTAATATATACTGTAGGAGAGTGCTGGTGGGCGCAGTCATTCTCCCAGACCCCAGGGCTGTGTAAGGCTCTTTACCCATCTCCACTGTCTACCAGAGGCAGCTAGTCCTTCCTCAACCTCCACACCTTTTAAAACTCTCTTCCATTCCCAACTACTTTAAGCTTTTACCAATCACCAAGTCAAGATCAAGTCAAACAGCAAATGAAAACACAGAGAAAGGAGTCTTCCCTTACTCTGCAGCTTTTATGCGCCATTAAGAGGAGATGAAAGACTCCTGACTACAATCTATGCACACCCTGCAAATTAAATAGCATCAACAATACTGTCGAGTGATACTTAATTTGCATTCAGTAGAGCTATATTTGCTCTTTCTCCAAGTCAAAACTGGATTACATGATCGGATTTTTCTATTCAAAACAAGCCATTTTTCAACCATCTTTCAGGAGAGCCATGCTTTTGGAAAGAAGTGATCAGGTGGCAACCCTGCTAAGCCACATCAAAATATCCCATTTTTTCTGCAGTGTTTAGTCTCATACGAAAAATCTTCCATCTATTAAGGAGGCAGACAGAAGCTAAAGCAAGCTAGCTGTCAGTGTCATAGATATGGTTGATTAAATTTATAATACAAAACTACAACAACAAGCTGACAGTCACATACTGACAATCATTTTGACTTAAATTCTTCTGGGCATAGAGCCTGAATTTTTTGAAGGTGCAACATAGGAAAATTGGATGGACCTTTCCAAAGGTATTTGTACCAGACAAATGAAAGGGAAGCTTTTAGAGACCCAAATGTGAAACTAATAGCACAAGAAAAACATTTTAGCAAGTATTTGTAAACTTTTTGATATTGGCAAACACCTTGCTTACCAGCAGTACACTTTACACAAGTCTTCCAAATGTCACCCCACTAAACTAAGTATTTAGTAAATTCCATAGTGCTGTAAGCACTAGGTAAACCAGCATGAGCCATACTGTACAACAGGTGATGGTTTGAGGCCAGTGGGTTAATAAACATGTGGCTAAACCCAGCACCCAACTTCAATTTTTGAGTTCCTTGAAAAATGGGCCTTTTTTAAAAGTCTTGCAAGGCATGTGGGTCAATCAATCTTTGCAAGTCATGGTTTTTAATCCTACAGTTTCCATCATCCTTATTTGCCAATATTCTGAACACTTCCCTAAACCTTACTTTGCAAAAGACCAACAGTCTCATATATCATGAAAGTAATCACACTGCAATTAGGACTCCTATTAAGATCCACTTTTCAAAAAACACATTGCACACTGCAGTAATGTATAAACATATTAAACTCTAGACGATTTGCTCTGCTAATGAAGTTTTATAAGGCAGCAAAGCAATGCTGGATCTTTCATTGAGAACTGGAGAGGCTCAATTTTATAACATAAGTTTTCTGATCAGTTGGAAAGAGTTTTTAAGTAAGCTTTTTCTGAACTCTGAAAAGCTACCCATCTGCAAGCTGTAACCAACAGTCCAGTCTACTTTTGGCATTAAGTACTGTAGTCAAGTGAAGCACAACACATTTCTGATTCCAGATACCCAGCTGATAGTGCTCAGGAACACCACAGCTTTAACTACAAGTATGTAGTATACATACTTGTATGTATACATACATACATGTATGTAGAATACATACTGTCCACAAAGGACATGTTTTAATTTTACAAACTTTGCTTCAAGGAAATTCAATGGAAATATTCTTGGCTATTTTGAGTATCTTGTGTAAGCACAGTGGAACTTTAAGGAATTCTAACTGCTCATTTTTAGTCCTTCTGAACACTTACTCTCACATCATCTGCTAAAAATTTTCCATTAATTGTTTTAGTACAATTATTAATATTCTAAGTGTATGACTAAATCAATGGGCTACAGAAAGTTTTAAAGGATTCCAGAGATAATTTGAATAAACGGTTGGAAAACCAGGCAGGTGAGATATTTGTGTGCAAATATTACTCATCATCTGCTTTAGCTGATGAATGGTGCATGATGTGCTAGGGTATAGATCAAGAATATACCGCTTGATACTGGAATCTACTGGTTGCTTTGTACTACTGCCAAAATGCAACCGAGTATAAGCAATGATCTCAGCAACAGAACAGAAGAAACATGTAGCGGCTTACTACATACTTATTAAATATGGGAATTGGACATGTAAAAAAATTTGAAAATTTTAATGCAAGATACTTTTTATACTGCCTTGCTTATTCATAATAAAGTGGTTCAACCTCAAAATGAGATAAAATTGCATCTTCCATAGAAGCGTATGGATAGAAGCTAAAGAAAATTAATTGCAGCTTGCTGCCAACAGGAGATGATAGTTTTCTGGATCCCTGTTACAACTCCCTTCTTAAACATAAGCAATACTCTGGATCTCATATGATGGCAACTGTACTTTTCACTTGATTTGGGTCAAGACTATTTTTCAGTAAGAAAAAAAAATTAACTCCAGTAAATGATGATAATTGATATACCAACAGGGTGTTGGCCAACTGTTTGGCAGTAAATGACAAGCATTTAAATTAAGTTTTACGGTAATTTAAAAAATACAGAAGTGTTATAAATATATTTAACACATTAATACACTGTTTAACAGTCCTGTATGAACACTTCATTCTGAAACATCACACTTTATACTACCAGTGTCTCTGCCATCCTTCTGCTTCATTAAAACTCAAGTCAATACAAAACAAACTTATTTTTCAATGGCCATATAATACCCAGACAGTTTTACTGCACTTCAAAAAATGAGTCAGGTCTTACCCAAAGTACTCATTTGCAATTTAAGGTACAACATAAATCCACTTTTGAATTCATTCCATTTCACTTAATCAAATGAAGTTTATATTTGAGATAGTCATAGAAACTCCCCAAAAGGCTTACAACCCTGGTGCCTACTGCATCCCAAAGGTTGAATTTTATCTTTCTAGGAATAACTAGATAAAATTGTGTTAATTATAAATTAGTATTAGTATGACATATGACCAGTAAGGAAGTCAGCAGCTAAGAAATTAATGAGAAAAAGTACAGCAACAATCTTACCTTTAAGTCAAGATGAACCACATTGTTTCTGTGCAAGAATGAAACTCCTTCTAAGATCTGCTTCATAAGTCGTTTAACATCTTTTTCTTTGAAGGCTTCCTCTCTTTCAGCCACACACTGGTCAAAGATTTCACCTCCAGCAGCACTATGGAACAATACGAATTTTATTATTTCAAAGACTAAGTTATAGCACCCATTTTGTTCTACTCCCACTATTTTATTTAGCATAAACAAGATCAGCAGGCAGTAGTATACAATAGTGATATTTTCAGTTATTAAACATTTGGCAAGCTTTTACAGCCTAGGAAGACTTCTCTGCAGTATGGCATCTTTGGAGAGAAGCAAAGATCTTAGCCATTTAGGTTAGAGAACATGAATACTACAGAAATTTTGGGGACTATTTTGGAAACACTGCTGACTACACTTTAAGATAAAGGCCACATCTGTTTAAGGGCAGTGTTTACATAAAAGATGTGCCTTTTGCCGTTCCTATGAACCTACATGGAAATTTGGCCAAGGTAAGCCTTTGTAAACACAAAGCAAACCAGCCCCACCCCCAATCCTCCTCTAAACACTTTGCACTTACTCAAATGACTAAATGTAAAGTTTATAATTGAATTGTTTGTGAAGTCTTTGGTATACAGGGATGCATTAAGTTTCTAAATGACTTTCATCTAAAAATACTTTTGAAAATTTTAGCTCTTAGCTTGCTTCCTTATCTTCTGTTTATATATGCTTAAATAAATAAGTAACCAAAAATAATAACTACCGATGAATGAATGTTTTTAAAGTACTCTGAAACCACATGCAGTACCACCTCTGTATAGCAGCAACCCTAGAGAACTAAAATTGTTTTACAACATCCAAGGTAAAATAAGCAGAGCAGAGCTCCATCTTAAAACAAGAATGGGCATAAGAACATTAGAATGGGTCCATTTTGCATATGGGTTGTTGAATTACTACTTAGTAACGTATAAATGAAATCAACACATACACACTTTGTTCTGCATGAAATTCTATAATCAACCCTTAGTGAAAGATTGCGAAAGCCCTGAGGACAGCATCTTCTCCAGTTACCCCAAACGGTGACATGCCAAACCTGACTTTGCACAAGCGTTAATCTTTACTGATGCATAGCCACCTATTCTGCCTTCGCTTGCTCTTTTCTAATGAATTATATTACCTAGGCAATCCAGAACACAGAGAGGCATATTCAACAAGGATGTAACAGCAAGTGAGTTCTCCAAAAATGGTGCATTTGGATTAGGTACCCCCAGAAAAAGAACAAACATACTCAATTTTTCATTTTGTCCATACTAAATTTGCTGCTACAGTCCTAGTACCTTAAAATGCCTCATGGTTTATAAGAACTTATTGCCTTCCCAGATATTCTCATTACTGTTATTTAAAATTCTCCCTATGGATTGTCTTACAAGCAAAAAAAAATTAAAAGAAGGTTACATCTTAACTTTTTCTAAAGAGTTTTGTATTTCTGTTCTATATGCTGGCATACTGGTACAGAAGTACAATTTGATTTATTAAACTAAGATTTTCTTTTAAAAAAGAAAAGTCCATTAAACAATTATTTTTCTTCATCCTGTATCAAAGATGATAGAACTCAAGAATAAAATGAGTTTTCATCATAGGAGTATGAATATTTTAATTCCTCTATACAAAAATTGCATATGCCTGACACTTTATCACATCTTTCTTCAGCACATTTTTATTTAATTAAAGGAAAAAGTTAGTAATATTCCAGCTTTGAACAGGATGCAGGTATTAATGACATTTTTAAAATTGACACTGGATAGTGTGTTTAATATTTTAAAGCAAGTTTTTTTAAAAAGCAACATCAATTGGATCTTCAAGATAGGGACAGAAAAACATCTACTGTAATCAATAAATTAAACTTTCTACTTTAAGAATGCCATAACATGTTGCTTGGAAGAATGATTTAATTCCTTGTAGCAGTAAATTATAATGCACATACAGTGATAAGATCTACTACCAAAATTACTAACATGATGTATTTTACAGCAACAACCCTGGAATTTTGCTGGTATAGCTCTGCCACTTAAAATAAGCAAAACCATACTTCTGCTACTTAATTCTATGTGAAATAGGATTTATACGCTAAAACTGCTGTTGTCAACCAGGGGTCACACTTCATTCTTAATAGACACAGCTGAAAAATCAGCAAGGGGGGGGGGGGCTTATAAAGCCCTGTTTGCTATATGTCTATTTGGTAGACATCTGTTACAATTAAGTCACACTAATAAACATATTAACATTGAAGTAGGCACCAAGCTAAAATGTAAGCTACCTAGAATTTTAATTCTACAGTTAAAGAACTTTGAATTAAATGTGTTTAAAGTCAAGGCAATGAGTGGAAGCACACAATGTCCCATCTCTGAAATCAAGAGACAGCACTACCACAAGAGGAGAAAACCCTCTATCCAGAAAGCTTTTTTTTTTTAAAAAAAAGATATTTAAGTACCCTCCCAGTACTTCTGAAGATGCCTAGGTTCATCAGCATTTTTAAGAGCGAGACAAGCAAATACAACCCTTAGACATAAACACCCACTCCGTGACTTATGAAACACAGCCATTCTCAGCTACTGTAGACAAATATACTTAGCTTTACAAAAAAGTTTCGCGTGGAAAGGTGGTTCACATGCAATGTTTCATTTTTCAATCAACTTTCCTATTTAGGATGCAGATAGAACAACTTCTTCCAGATAATTCATTCTATCCAAAAATTACCACATTCAAACAAGTAAGTAGTGACCCTTTACAAGAACATGGGGAAGTTTGTTACTGCAAGACTGTTTCATGTATTGTTGCTGGGGAGTGAGCTTAACTGATTCCCTTAAGCAAAACAGTCAGCTAGCTGTAAGCCAACCCAGTCACAAGTGGTTGGAAGTACGACGTCAAAATGAACTCCAAAACCAGTCTTCCGCACATCTATGCCAAATTTTGCCAAGCTTTTTAACAATACTTTCAACTCAGTTATTTTGCATTCCCTAGCTAGAATTCAGGGGAAAAAAAATAATCAAAACACAGAAGGAATTAAAATACCTGATAGGAATGTATTATGGGCATGTCACTGCTAGGATTTCTGTATACATGCATACCAGGGGTTCTCTGGTGTTTATAACATTTACCCATTTTCCCTCTTAAGAACACATCTTCCATTAAGCTGTAGCTTTTCTAACGGTCATTATGAAATAACGACTTTGCAAACCACCAGGTACCCCCATCCACCTCCACAGAAAATGTTCCTAAGGCATAAAAGCAAGAAATTGTCCTTAGGACAAAAAAGTCTTTAGGAAAACAAGACATCTTAATCTGAAAAAAAAAGGGATAAGGAAATATTTAGGAGTACAACGTTCTGAAATCCAGTGTTACTTAGAATGCATTATTTCTCTAGTACATACTCCCTTAAGCTAGGTGTACGGAAAAATCGCGAGACAAATTCTTTCCAAACTTAAAAGCTACAGCAACCAGAATTCTTCAGCTATTTTAATTTGTTTATGAAAGTACTGTTGTGCTATTATCTTCTCTATAGTTTCAAGTGAAATCCAACTGCTCTTCATCAGTGAAAAGCATGCTAACGTTTTATTACTGCTTATCAGCATAAATGACCTAAAAGTCAGTTGGAAGTCTGGAGCATTAATCTTGGTTACAATTATGTTGACTTTAAATTCAGTGGAGACTGCTTATCTTCCTTCAAACATATCTTAACAATGCACTGTATGGAATTCAGCATCCTACTTCTTTCAAGTGCGCTTACAATACACTACCACAGTCATTTAGCATATCATTAGGAAAAGATTGAACAAATCTAGTTCAGTGCACCTGAAAAAATTAAACATTCCCCCAGCTTTAATGGATCAGACATTAAGACATTAAGTCTTCTGAAAGACTCAGAAGTACACATGCTCAGAGTACAGATATGTAGATAAGTTCCTGGAATACACTTAATTTCAAATGCTGAGTGAGACCCTATACAGTCTGCAAGGGCCAAAAATTTACTTCCTGAATCTTATGCTATGTCAAAAGCCTTTCTTGAAACGGTTATCTTTGGAAGATAAATGGAAACTCATCTGCTTTCTGTACACAGAGCTTATATTACAAGAAGATCACACCAAGGTGGCTGTAACGCTATCAACAAAGTTCACTACTGCTGACAGTCATAACCCCCTTTCCTTGGCTAGGCATAGCATTAGATAGTAAGCAAGTGAATTTACTGAGAACTTTTCCAGTGTAAGGCTACCATAACATACCAATGTCCCCAAAGACTGAGAAAACTGTAAATCTGTATCTGATGACAGAACATATGGGAAGAGAAGCATCCAAATGCATTAAGTTGTAGATACTGCTTGGTTCTCAGACAAATGCATCTTTTTTTTTTTTTTTACCTTAACCTTTCCGATCAGGCAGTCCAAGAACCGAATGAAATGCAAACAAAAGCTAACTCACACCGTTTGAGAAGTTCTCCCCTAAAACTTTTTGAAGGGCTCCAGTCTTGATTTAAGACTACCATCTAGAACAACTTTGTTAATAGCTCTAATAGACAAGATGCAAACATTGGAGCGGCACAGTTATTTCTGATTACAGTGGGTTTGCTTCAGGTTCTATCATCTGTTGAATCCCACGCCAAACAAATCATTTCCTGCCAGCAGACTCCTCCTTTAACCAGTCACACCTCCAGTAAGTAGGACAATGAGTAATGTCCAAGATAATACAAGTAGTAACACTATCCAGGTCCAAATAACTATAGGTGAAAAAAGCACTTCATCCAGCATATCAAATAAACCCTGACCATGTCTTCAAGATGATAAAGACAACTTTTTTCTTTTTTAAAGTAAGCATAACAAAAGTCTACTGTATCTACACAAGACCCCGGCAGGTAATCACTCAGTTCAGAAGCTCTTCACAGAAGAATACTTAACAGCTTAAATTTTGAAGTTAGACATACAGGTTTCTTTAATATCTGACCCACTAACATTATCTGTCCCTTCCACAGATGTGTAAACATATGGTGACGAACACTTAGAAAAACACCAGTTCTTAAGCATCAGATGCTCTGTTGTTCACTCTTTCAAAAGAAATTGGAAAATGCCAGGTAGGCTGCATACAAATATTGAGCCCAAAAGTTATAAAAGGAAAAAAGCAAATTTAATATCAGATGTGTCAGGTTTTCCAGACTGTATCTCTATCTTTTTCAGTAAAAGTACAGTTTTCTTTTTCATTCATTCAATTTTCACTGATATATAGAAACACAACTGACCCACTGATTAATTCCAGGCTTTAGATACTACCCCTTCAGACTTGCTTACCTCTTCAACGCCTACTTGAATCCTCTGTTTGAGGTCTTGTGCCAACAAACAGAAGTCAGAGGCTGTTGTCAGGGTGGATGCAGACAGCCACCACTTCGCTATCCTACAGCTGAAGCCAACGCTGTAATGCGTCATTGCTTCCCACTGCTCAGAACTTAATATTAACAGTTAGTGGCCAATTTTGTTTTCTGTCAAAAATTGATACTGCTTGAAAGACAACCCTCCACGTAACATTAGTATTTCTCTTCATGAAGGCAAAGCACTAGTTGTCCACCCCCGCCCCTCGGCTTACGACAGATTCAACATCAAGACAAGAAACTTTAAAACGTTAGCAGATAAGGCTAGTGGCCAACAATTAAGTATTTGGTTTTCTCCTTCCCAAGATAAAGATCTGCCACTCAGACCATCAAGCTTAATAGAAACTGAAATGCCCTAGAGAAGCTTGCCATCTAGATATGTTCTTTAATCCTCTGCATACAGAATGTCAGAAATTTACTAACATTCATACCTGTTTTGTTGCAACAGGTCTCTGGAACATGCTGACATTGAAGAAGCATCCAGACATATTTGCTGAAGTCAGGGAAAGACTGTTTTTGTAATTTACAACTCTAACACACAGCTATTTATCTGAAACAAGGTATGACTGATGCATATAAAAAACAATAATGTTGCTAATTACTGAACAACCTGGTGACTACTGAACAACCTAGTTAATACTTTGGATTAAAAATGTTTTGCAATTGTAAGAGAATTGAGCTCTACAAAAACCAAGCAATTTTGCATTAAAATTATCATAAAACCCCTTGCTCTTATCAAGCTTTGGATTCTATCACTTGTATTATATCCCTACAAGCCCAGAAATTTAAACTGTATTCTAGTTAGACCTGTGCTGCTAGTGTTTAAAGCATGTATTTATGAATCTTCAATAACAGCAGTTAAAACTCTAGCAGCTCTGTCACACCTTTGCATTATAACAGATACTTGAATATTTTGTAAATCATGAATTCCATAAGGGCACAATGAAGTCGAAAAAAAACGTATTCTAGAAAGAAGTTTGCCTTAGCAGACCCGGTCTCATTCCATTTCACTGAACTTTAAAGATAGTTTCTTTTGACTTCTAAACAAGAGTACATTGAGACACAAGATTTCTCACCATTCATTTTTGTTATCAAGGAAGAAAAGAACTGTACAAACTAGATTTATCTTAGCAGGTTAAGTCACTTCTGAACTATCAAGCCTCACTGTTCCTCTCCTAATTATTTAAAATCCATAGAGCTTGAACAGGATCTTAACAGAGTTCAACAGCAACAAACATTTGGCTGCTTCTTAGAACCTAGACTTCAAACGTCTAAGCATCTGGAATATTAGATGAACAGTCCACAACAGCTGCAAAAACTCCCATCTGGACAAACTGAAGGGGGAAAACACACAATCAAATGTGGAGTCACAAGTTAAAAGTCATTTGAAAGGAACTGTTCTAGGTCTGAATCCTCATACTCTCTCTTCCCCCAAAAGATTATTTAGACAGCTTTTCACCATAGATCATAGGGGCTTTTGATAGCTTCTTGTTAAGATGACATTGCTTTCAATACCTTTTTCATAACTGGTGAAAAAACCCCAGATTTCATCCCGTCTCTGTCACTGTCAAGGAAATAAACTTCAGTTTTTGAACAGATACTCATTGCATCTTTCCTCTTCCTCTTTTACAAGTAGGGAGTGTACACAGTTCATATTTCACTAAAGATTTTTTTAACTACATAAATTATAGTTCAGCTTTGAAAGATACTACATAATTGGAAAAATTTATTGTAATCTGCAGTAGTTACAAGACTGCACATGACTTCTTGTAATACTGATTTTCTTAGCAATTCTTTTTGAACTCAAGCAAGCGTAACAGATAAGCAATAAAATCTTTTCACATTATTTGTATTGACACACAGTATTTTTACATTACTAGTTTTATGCAAAGACTGCAGAAGGTTATTCAGGAATTATTACCAGTACTTACTATTCCAGGACTAAAATCATCTCTGTTGCAGTTTCATAAACTTCATGCAAGTTAATGACCCAAAGGTTGCATTGTGCCAGCTCAAGGACTGCAATTTCGTGGATTATTTCCATCCGACAGTCTTGGCCCTTTCTTCTTTTTCTCATAAATTTTGCTGCAAACTCTCTTTCAGTGTCTTTCTGGATACACTTCTTCACCACTGCAAATTTTCCTCTGAAACGAAAGAATAATTTTAAGTTAAAATCAAGTCCCTTAGTGACAACATTAGTATAGCCCTTATAAATGAACGTTACAGAAAACTTGAACTAAATCACTATTGATGAATACATTTAAAATGTTCGAAATTTAGAAAGATGCCTTGCTGAGTGATAATCCCTACACTTAAGTTAGGAACATCACAAGGCAGAATGTAATTTAACCTCCATTAAAAATAAGGACTTAAACCTATCAATTCAAGGAACGTGGATTACAAAAATACAGAATAAACAAGCTGTGCTAGTTTGCAAGATCAAGGTATCCTCACACCTTTCATTAAAAAAAGCTGGCAGAAACCAAAGTGCACAAACAGGCAATTTATGCTTTCTGTGACTATGTTACAATAACCTAAGTAATTGCCCAGCCATTGTTTTCTAAAGTATCCCACCGTATTCAAGGCAGCAGCAACCAGCACTCTTACTGAATAACTGCTCAAAATCATGTTCCATTTGCCATGCAATACCCAGACTCTGCTCTGCATTTTCAAAGATGGCACTTTGTATTTTCACTATAATATGTCTCAAATGATAACAGCCAGAGTTTTTTGATTAACAGTTCTCAAAATCCCTTATTCTTAGTCTCACTGTATAAGTAAGGAACATGGATAATTTCAAAAAAAATTAAGCAGCTTGGCCAACATAAAACTTTCCAACAAAATTTTTGCAACAGTGATAATATGAATACAAACACACACTGAGCAGAACTGAGCATAGTGCTTAACCCACATTAATGAGCGTCACTTCTGACAAAACACACAACCGATGAGTTAACACCAAGCCAGCAGGCTAGCTAAAACCACACTGCAGCACTTACGTCAGAAGACTTCCCCTGCAGCATTTTGGACTGAAGTGTCTGCTCTAAACTTCCTTGCAATAGAGTCCCACGCCACCTGCTCCACTGTTCCATTCATACAGTATGGATTTTTAGACTGAAAAGGTCTATTAATTAATATCTGTCATCTAATGCAATGATGAATTCTCATACTTTGAAGTATAGCAACCTTTTTTTAGTTCTTACCATACGGGTATAATATTCATCAGAACTATCTTTGTTATTTATATGTAAAAATTTTCCTCTGAAGCTGCAGGAATAGCTTGGAGATCTTTATTTTGGTTCTTAACTTATTGTAGCGTTGCTGAAACCAAAATAAGAGTCCTCATGTGGTTTGGAATACAGTTACATGGGTTTCGCCTCTCCTACCTCCAAGCTGAAGTTCACAGAATTAACTAATTTAGCTCACGTTGAAGTTTTCACTTTCACAGCTCCTAACCTACTGGCAGACTTATATTTCCATGAACTGTAACTGCTAGAACAAGTTGTGGTCAGCTTGCTTTTAATAGGCATTTGTTTCAAAATTACCCAGTCTAAATGAATTAAGTCAAATAAGCACCCACAAAGTGGGTATTTGCTAAGCAATCTCACTAAAATAATCTGACTTCTAACCGCTGATATAGCCACAGTTATTCCTGTAGGAATAATACTTTGCATAAGCACACACTATCTACAGCACACTAACACTAGATCAGAGCACAGCCCAGATGGCTGTGAAGGTAGACAAACAGTAAAAATATGCTTTCACCATCTTGAATCCAATTTTTTGGGAGAAAGTTCTTAATTACTAATATATACATTAAGACAAATTTTGCTTTGAAAATGCGTGAAAATAGTATTATGGGATTTTGTAGCACTAGAAAGGTGTGGTCAAAAGATCATTACAAAATGCGTTAATCACTAAAGAGTTACCACAGAACACCACAGGAGGAACAGACACCTAAAGCCTCAAATAAAGCCTAACAACCTGCTAGGTCCCTGGTATACATCTATCAAAACCCATGTTGGAAGAAACAAATGCGTATAGTAGAGACAGCTCATCAGGAAACAAAGGAATGCGCTAACGATGCTCCTGACCCCCAAAATATTGCAAGGACAGTGTTTCTTTTAGGTCAGTTTCTAGGAAGTTTGTGGCATTAGCGTTGCAGCTACAAGTATAAACATCCCTCTAGTATTGCAATCCTAACCACAACCGAGAGTAACCTTCCTTACGTAGCCAGTGAAAAGGATTTTAAGCTACTCCAAATGAAGGCTGCATCTGTATGATTAGCGTACAATATAAAGCTATGCATTTATCGAAAGTGTTAAAATCCTTGCTGAAGTTTTTAGCACCAAAACCAAAAACAGCACAGGGAAAAAAAAACCTAGCAACTATGCTGATAAGAAAAAGCCCAACAGATAAAAATAAATTGAGAGACTAACCGATAAGCCCTTTAACAGCAAGTTATTTTAATACCTGGTAGATACTAAACCTTTCTACCACAAACCTAGACCCCTGGGTTCAGCCTTCTCTATTTTTCTTAAATAGTCTCTGAATGCACAGCTTCCTTTCGGTTGAAAGTCGCCTTAGTACAGAGTGAAAAGCTTTTAATTCTAGCACCGCTGAAGGACCTAGAGAAAGTAGTTTAGAAAAAGTCTGAAATCTCTATAATACAGCTTTCAAGAAGCACGGTGGTGTTTTGCATTACATACAAAATCTATCTGGAAGCAAGTTAATTAGCCTAATGAATACCAGTGTTGCCAATTCATCGTACATTAGTCACTATGGAAATAAAACAGCATTCATGGGGCTGCAAGAAACAGCGAGAGCCACCACTGTGTGTGGCCATGCATGTCCTGTTCAGCTGAGCTGGCCAGAAGCCTGATAGGTGACGTAATTAAAAGGACAGGTTACACGGGCGGCTGACAAATACTGGCTCTTAGTTGTTGAAGACCAAGAATCCTGCCCAGATTCTTCATGGTTATACCTATAATTAGAGCTATTATAACTACAGTCTGTAGAACTCATCTTTTCTGAACACAGTCCCCAAAAAAGATCAAACTTGACAAACCTGATGTTTATAGCTAATAGAACTAATTACTGTGCAGCAATCTAGATGCATGCCTGAGACAATTTCAGAGCTAAGATCCAAACATACCATCCACTGTATGGTTAAGCCAAAAGATAAATTTGTAAAGATTTCCTTTTTGATAGAGACAGAGTAGTAGATAAGAGAGATATAAACAAGCTTTCCCATAAAGTACACGTTGCATACTCTTCCTCTTTGCTTTTCTTAAAATCCTGCTTTTCAGAACTCCTTATAAAAAGCCTATTAAATCGTACTAGATCAGAGCATTGCTAGTTTAGCTGTATGGAGAAGAGCTAGCAGCCAGAACATTGCATTGAAGGAAGAACAATTTTGAGAGGAAATAAAGTGCATTTCCAAAGTTAAAAACTGACTACCAGTCATCAAACCACAAACAAAAATGCTTTGAAGGGAGACATGAATAGGAAACTAGAAGTAGTTCTCAGTCCTCACAGGAGTCTCATTCAAGAATTATGATTTAAGATCAATCATATCTGATTACGAAGAAGCTCAATGTCGTCTTTTCAGATTGCCAACAGAATTAGCATTGTTTCACCTGGCATACATTAAGGCTTAAAGCAAAAGCCTCAAATCACAAATCAGGTAAGCAGGAACATCTATGTCACACCAGTTAATTTTGGTTGTCATAGGCTCAGAAGAACAGAGAACTAACCTTACTTTAATAACTATTTTTATAGTGACCTATAAAACCCTGTCACTGTAACAAATGCAGGAATAACAGCAATTCCTGTGAAGATCTGAACTTTATAAAAAGTAAATAAAACTTCTCTGAGATCCACAAAACTATATGCAATTTGTTACATAACTCATATCAAACATTTTTTTCTAAAGCATGGGGTTTTTCCCTA